CTTGTATTGTAGGCACAAGCGGGCCCGGCCTACTTTGCTTCCTAGAATGTTGACATCACTTGACAAACCGGACACGCGTGTGGGGCCACCTTTGCTCGCTCGTGATGCTATTCCGACGTTCCCTCTCGCTCAGCGGACTAATTTTTCATTGTTGGGCGCTTGTTGCGATGGGTGTATGCTCACGCAGCGATCGACCATTTTTAAGATGATTTTTTAGAAGCGATTCCGCGAAAGGGTACCTGTTTTCGATGAATTCTCGAGAGCTTGGAATGTTGCATATTTTTAGTTCACAGCCGAGCTCGATCCGATGCAGTTGTTGCGGCTCTGTATATATGCGTGAAGCGCCGTTCATGTCCGCGCAGCGGCTCGTTGTGTTTTCATTTTGGGCGGACAAACGTGATCGACCGAGTTTTTTTTTTGCGAAAATCAAAATTTCCAGATGATGAATACCACATCTGGAAATTCTCGGGGGCGGGGACCAAAAAGATGGCGTTTCAGAGCTTTTCGGTGAAAAAATCTTTCAAAATTTACGGACAAAAATTTCGCAATGAAAAATCGCATTCTTTTGTAGAGTTGCGTCAAATCCAATGTATACTTCCCAATGTTTTGATAATTTTTATTTCGACTCGAATTTTTCGCCAAAATGCGTACGCATAAAGCTGCTTAATGTTTTTTTCGTCCATAGCGTGAATTCCTACTTATCAAAGAAAGAAAAAAAGAATTTTTATCAAATTTTCCCTCTCTTGAATCTTGTCTGTTTGCGAATAAAAAGAAAAATATAAATAAATACGCACGGCGTGCAAACACAATTTTAACCTGCAATGAGCAGCCGGGAAAAGTACCAACAATTGAAAATACCATCGAGAGAGTAATCCATCAGATGCGCTGACTCAGCACCGTTTTTTTTTTTATTTTCATTCGTCAAGGAATAACACATTGTGCTATATACCTGAACGTGAATCTCACGCACTGACCCACATACTTCTGATTCAATAAAAAAAAAAAAAAAAATCAGGAGAACTCTACTTTGAGGCCCACTTAAAATACTCACAAATGCCAGCAGATGAAAATTCGCCAAGTTAAGAGCTACAAGCTCCGAGAACCGATAAGGGCAGTAGCGCAGTAGCTCAATGTAATATGTGTCATCTGACCACGACAGAGACCCGATTGTACTGTTTTTGCCTTGGTGTAGGTGCACTTAAGAACGGAGCTTTTGGACTCGGCCCTGCGGAAACGTGCTGTATGCTCCGTGTGTGAGACGAATACCTGATGCGTGTATTTGCTTGCGCTGTACATAATAATTACATACGTGCTCGAATAATGAATATTTAATACCTCTCGTGAGTATCGGCCTCCTCTGCGCGATTTTTCCCTCGAGACAGCATGTGACGGTGTTAATACGTTGACTCGTCATGTGCCGTATGGCGTATGTACAGTTTTCATGAGTTGGTTGAAATTGAACGCGAATTTTATACGATAAACAATTACTAAATCTCAGTATAATATCCCAGTATCTCAGTGTATACAATTTTTCAGCGATTGCGAGAAATCTTCACAAAAACGGGACGAGTATTTAGCTCAACTAAAAGGAGGCAAGTTTCAGGTGCCATGAATATTAATTTATACGTACCTACGTACTATTTGACTGTAGAGGCTGAGTGGCAAAAGTCTCGGATAACAATACAACGACAGCAATTAAATTCACTAAAAGTATATAGTCTTCCAAATGAAAACAGCACCACCGAACTTACACCTGTACAACATTTGTTGCGTTTCATCGGCATTGGCAGTGTGTTCGTCTTGTTCCCACTTGTTTTTGCGTTATCACACCTGCATCGCTCCGTCAACATGTTTTCATCCGGTATACACACGATGGGAATCGATGGAAGGGGGCAGATTCAAATGGCAACGTATTAAATTTAATGCTGAAATAAAAGTTGTATACTGCACACGCGGGGGCACGATTACCATATATCACACACAGCAAATATACAACAAACTGGCTCTCACACGCGGCTAATTAATCGAGCTAATTCACATGTTACGCAACCCCCCGCTCTCTTGTGCAATAAAATATGTAGGTACATGCGAATATACATATACGTATATCGATACTACACGAATCAAAGTGTACACGATTGCTTGTTTGCGAATAAGTGTAGAGTCGATTGTAGAAGTTTGTTTAAAACAACATCATTAGTATTACGTTGGAGCTAGCTGTTCTCGCATTCTCGTCAGTAATAAAAATAATAACAAAAGTGACGGTGATGATGATAATAACAATAATAACAATATACATGGAGAAGTAGCCTAGCTTCGATAAGACATCGGTGTAGGATGTATAGGTAGAGGCGCTTGTCTATATACGATACGGAGGCATCCAAGTTGCACGTACATATATTATGTGGACGTGGACAAAGTAAGGGGTGGGGAGCAAGAGTGTATGTACGTACCTGCCTTCGTTAATTCAATAACCTATTCCCATTCATTTCCTTATCAGATCATAAATCTCGGTGCACGGTTGGAAAAAAAAAGGTCAGCGCGCTCTCGCCTACATTTTTCCCTCTCTCTCTCTCTGAGGTCTCAATTCAGTGGAGGATAACGCGCGTGTTTATACAAGCTATTGTATAAATAAATAATATCCCTTGGTACGGTGTGTCCATTGAGACTCGCGGAAATGCATCAGCTCCGTATATATATATATATGGGTGTGCATACTCCTCTCTCCCGTGCGCGGGCTGGGCTTTTATCAATTTTTTTTTTTTTGTCAGGATAAGAAATCACGGGAAATTTTATTGTCCACGAATTATATTTATACGCACGAGATAAGTGCTCACGCTCGGCTATTGGGATGTAATATGGGCCACTGGAGGGGATAAGAAATTCAACGTGGCGCGAAAGAGTCAACGCATATACAGCATAGGACATGAAGGCCATTTTTCCTCCGTGTTTAAATTTTTTATGACAATGAGGCCCGTGCGTTCTTACATCAGGAAGCAGCTCCCGGTGCACTTTTTCTATACTCTAGAGCTGTGTAACTCACGAAAATCCGAATCATATCCTGACAGCCGCCCTTTACTTGTTAAAAAAAAAAGTCAGATATATGAATTTGTATCGAGGAAACTCGAGACGGGCGCTGCGCCCGCGAGCGAATAAAATTGCAATTCTCGGCTGTCACGAGCACCATATGCGCGTAATGTGAGTGGACGCGCGAGTACACGTGTACACACGAGATCCCTTTCGTCCTATCACATTTTGTTTCTCAATCGCTACATGAACACGCGAGTAAAAATCCACCCACTCCCCCCTTATGGTTTCACATTTTTTTCATTAGTTTATTATTACCTGAATGCGCACGGCGGTGGAGGGAAAGAAAAAGTACAAGTTCCATTTCTACGTCACGCTCGATAGAACACTACGAGCAATTTATCTTTCGCATCTCGCGCCCCGAACTACTCGAGTGTAATACACTTAATAAAGTTATCGACTATACTCCCTGATGCTATTTGTACACAGGCGTTCTCTCATCAATCGCTCTCTCAACAGTGCCGATCCCATCCTCCGTTTCGTGCGATTTTCCGAGACTGCTGAAATGCACGTGCAATGTTGTTGTGTACCTGGTAATTACAATAACGTGGGTGTGCCTGTACCATAGTAGGTGTAATGCAAAACAAAATGTTGACGCGGGGAACTTATTTGGGAGTGCATTACTTTGGACGGGAAAACGGAGCGGCTTTATTGGATATTTATAGAAGCCTCCCTCCCGTTCCTTTCGTCCCTTATACTTTAATTTCCATTAAAATTAACATTGTAACAGAAAGCGCACGTGCTCACTGGGATGGAAAAATTATTTTGTGGTGTAATAGGTACTTAGTCCTATCAGAGGCAGAAAGAACTGCAAGAGAATCGTGAGAGCTGCAACGCATATATAGGACGATAAGACGAGCTAAGGAGATTCATCAGGAGACGTTGACGGAAGAACTATTATATTACACGGTTAGCGTGGCACCCCGTGCACTCGATTAATCGCGCGAGTCTCCCTCTTCAAAGTACGAGGATGATAATGACGATGGTGATGACGCGGAAGAGGAGGAGGATTATAACCGTTTGTTGACCCCGCGACGTTTGCAAATGATTTTCCGGGACGATATGTTGCTGTCGCGTTTGCCTCGCGTATATTAATGTTTATAATGAGAGAGGCACGCGCAGGGCGTTTATATCGCGTTACATTAGCTCGAGTATAAATTAAGTATGTACTTGTGCATACACCGTTGAGGCAGTCGGAGGTTACAAGTGTCTAGTTCTGTTCTGGACTCCTGATACCTTTTAAGTGAGCGCTTTCTTACTGGATGTTGAATTCGAGCTGAAGACGATACTTTTCATGCTCGTTCTAGCGAGTATCGATTCAGAAGAACACGGATTCCACTATGTCCGAACTTTATAGGTGGAGGCTGAAGATTTGATTTTGATTTGACATTTCAGAGGTACACTATTAATTTATTGTTTAATCAGAACTTAAGTTAAGGTTAAGAATCTGTTCTCACCCTAGACGTAAACAATACCTACGCGATCTCACATGATGGTTGTGGCGACTCAGCAAAGTACTAAACATTTTTCTTGTTGGGGCACCTAGTACTTACAACTTTTTTTGCACAATAATAATGAACACTTAAATATTAATGGCGAGTATGTAAAAAAAACCGCGGTACCGACAATCAACCTTCGACCACCGTTGAAACACGCGAGCACTGATTATTCTACGTTCGGTCACACTTTTTTACATAAATTATAATGTACACCTATATATACTACCCATGGTAAGTTACATTAAAAGGTGTCTGTTTCAGCTGCAGTTGTTATTGTCCTGGTGGTCGGTAAAGAAGAGTACCCACTGCATTCTGCGACTTTTCAACACAACAACAAATGCAGCTGATGCCCTTATGCCCTACCCTAACCCACAAATTCTCTAAAAATAGTGCGCATTACCGGACACACGTGAATATCCAGCTTGAAGGTAAAATTTTGGTATTTTTATCAATTTTAGATTAATAACTCCCACTTTTCGAGCTTGTTGAAAGCCAATCATACATTATTTGTATTTGTTTACATCAAAATATTCTTTAGCAGTAAAATCAATTAATTTTTCTCACAACATCAGCTATTCAGTTACAATATTTTTAGATGGCCAAGAAACACGTAAAACGTGTATTAAATGATGATGAGCACGTGAAAGTTTCTCCTAAGAAAAATAAAGTAAAGGAAGACGTGTCTCCTAAAAAGAAGAAGTCAAAACTTAATTCTAATAAGCCAATTTTGAAAATAAAACATGAAAAGGACGGTGTTAAAAAGCTTTCTAAAAAAAAGTCGTTAAAAAAATTGAAGACGCTGAATGTAAATGAAGACTTGCTTTCTGGAAGCTTAGAGGATAGGAAACAGCTTCTGCAAGTATTACAAAAGCTAAAGAAAAAAGAAAAGCTAAGTAAAATATCTGACAATCATGAATCCAAAGAAATATCACGAAAAAGGAAGCATCAGGCAAGTCATTCAGAATCCAAAAAGGAACAACTCAAAAATGTTGAAAATGAGGAAATATCTGTGGAAAAGAAGTCAAAGAAGAATAAGAAAATTCAAAAGGTATAATCTTGATTTTTTTTATCCCAGTAAAATGAGTAAAATTTCATGTAGCTTTTTTTTTTTTTTTTTTCAATGTAGTCTAAGGATTCTGAAGAACCTTCAAACGCTCGATCTGATGTACAAGAGTCGACTGGGAAACCAAGACAGAAGAACAATATAGATTCATTTGACTCACCCACCAAGTCTAAGAAGAGAAAACATAAGAAGACATCTAAACATGAGGAAGAAAGTGATGTACTAGAAAAATCAGACCAAGGAACAAAAGTTAAAAAAGATAAAGTCATAAGTACAAAAAGAAAAAGTCGATTTGAGGATAAAAGAGATGAACGTCTAAAAAAAAGAAAATTGATCCGAGCAGAACAAGGCCAGTTTAGTTCATATAATAAATTATCGGTCGATGAAATGAAAGCAAAAATTACCGATTTCCAAAGTCGTGAAAAGTTATCCAAAACAGCTTTGAGAAAATTGCGAGTTCTGAAGAAAAAACTCAGCGTGGCAGAAGGCACAGCTGATAAAAAAGAGCCTGAAAAGCGGAAGTCTGATGTTTTAGAGGAATCTATTCCCAAGAGTAAAAATAAAAAGTTGAAAAAAGATAAGGCAATAAAAAAGAAACAAACCAAGATTGAAAAAGGTACATTTAAAAAATGTTGAACACAATCTTCTGAAAATTAATTATTCCATTATTAATTTTTTGTTATTTTTAGATAATGAAGATCACTCAGTACTCAGTGAATCTGCTATTAGCAGCAACAATGATACTAATGATAAAGACGTAAAAGTTGTTGAATCAAAAAACAAAAAATCGAAAAAAAATAATAATCAAGGTAAGACAAATATTTCTTCAAAAAAATCTAATCAATTAAAAAAAGTCGTTCCTGCCAATGGAATAGAAAATGATGAAGAAAAAGATGAAAAAGAAGATGGTGAGATTAGCGACGATGAAAATGAAATTCCGAATGAAAATGACAAAGTAGATGAAATTAGAGGAAAGAAAAAAGATGAAAATTTAAAAAAAGTTGACAAAACAAATGTATGTGACGACACTACTCCTCAAGTTAAAAAACAGAATGAAAATAGAAATGAAGAATCTCCTAAAAAGCGACGATATGTACTGTTTGTTGGAAACTTAACTTACGAGTGAGTATATTACATAAAATTGATGACTTAAATTGACGTATTCAAGTAAATATAATTTGGTAATCATTACAGTACTACAACTGTAGATATAAAAAAACATTTCCTGACCAAAGTTGACATGGTCAAAGATGTCAGGATCCCTTTGCTACCTAACACTAATACGCCACGTGGCTTTGCATACGTTGAAGTTGAAAATACTATGGATTATGAGGTAAATTAAACTGCGTATTATGAAGTTAAAAAATGAAAACCATTATTATCAGTTTTACAAAAATGTGAGTATTTTTCGATTATAGAAAGCCCTTTCACTTCATGGAACCTTTATCAGGGGTAGAATGATAAACGTTGAGTATTCATTACCTGGGTCAAAAAAGGTTGGTAAGAAACCAGAACTTGTTCATAAAAATAAAAAGTTACATGCCATGCGAAAGGCTGGAATGTTGGCGGGAAGCAAGAAACCCAAACCTTTTTATAAAAAGCAGAACTCGTCGAGTGCAAATGCGAACAAAGTTGCTCAAAACTAATATGAAAATATCGTACCATATTTTACCATCGTGTACATTACCTTGATGCCGTTTTACTTGATCTAGGTTTTTTATTACATGCTGGCATTTTTTTACTGTTTACCATAGATACTGTAATACGGAAAATTTTTTTTTTTTTCGTGAGTTTTTATTTCTTTATGCACAATGAAAATTTCATTGATACTGAAATCTCCACAGGCAATACTGATTTCTAGATTTTTTCGAGTGACTGATTAATTATAAAAATGTATTTTTAAAAGAGTCGCAATATATTACATTTATAGTTAAAGAACAGATAAATCTTGTTTGAATATATTAAAAAGTATCTGCATTTTTAATAATGTGTGATAATTTTTGTACAACAGCATAAACTTTTGTATGCAAACATCACACAATTGTTTATTGTAATCAAAAAATTGTAAATATGCTCTTAGGTGTACACCACCCTGGAATGAATCAAAAATATTTTGTACGTATATTATAAAATAAACATCAAAGGGTTACTTGAAATACAGTGTTTGTTATTGTTTTCCAACATTTCTTGTCATCGAATTGAATGTTGATTAACATTTGTTGGTGAATTCTTTAAAATTAACGAGACACATTTAACAAGTATTGCGCAGCAAAAATAAAAAAAAGGATGTACCCCTGGTGGGACTCGAACCCACAATCCCCGGTTTAGGAGACCGATGCCTTATCCATTAGGCCACAGGGGCGGTCGAGAAGGAGCAGCATCGTATTGTATACAAGCGTAGAGCAGCGCTCACTTCGACTTTGACGTCTCATATTCGCATGCTTGTGTATATAGTTATATCTTTGTATCTATATTTATGTGGTAGTAGAACTTTTAAAGGGTTATTTAATGTATTTATTTGAATTGAAGTTTAAAACTATTTTTACAGATCAAGAAATTAATTTCAAAAATCATGAATTTTCTTAAAAGTTTACCATAATCATGCAGGCTTTTGCTTAGGTCGTATTATTTTGTTTGTAAGAGAAAAATTTTAGTTTATTTTAAACAACAATTAGTTTTTACTTACTTGATCGAGTAATCTTAGGTAATGAATTCGACTTTTTCATATAAAACCTGTATTCCGGTGAATTCTTGAATATCTCGTTTATCTATCTTTTTTTACTTCTTTAATTTTCAAATTTACACTTTGGTTTCTTCTCCTTAAACCCTTTTTTTTTTTTCTTTTTTTTTCTAAATAAATAAATATTTTTGCGATTTCACCTATTAATAATTTTTCCCTAATGTCAAGTAAATAGAAATTAACGTGAAATTCTGATAATAATATGCTCTGAAATTGCTAGCGTCGTTTATATTTTCTAGAAAAAAAAATCCATCTTTTTTTTTTCAAGTTGCTAACACGCTGACCACTGAGTTTACCTCTAAGCTTGTTTTTTTTTAGCGAATTTAATGTCTAATCTATTGATTTCACATCACGTGGATGTGTAGGTATATATGCATACATACTTATGTATATATTGTAGATACATGTATTCATTAACAAAATGGCATGACGCATGTTTACATGCGGGATATGTAAGTATTGTACATACACCCATAGGATACAATTTTCATTAATAACCTAGAGATTGGAAAAACAGGGTGTAAACTGTTGCTCGTCAAATAATAATACAAATCTTTAAATGCCAATTATTCATGCAAACGAAAAAAGTCAGTTATTTTTCAATCATTTTTTGCAAACGATATTTTTTTACTGATAACAATTAAAATTCTAACCAAACAAAAGAGAAGAAAAAAAAAAAAAAAAACAATGTGACTAGTAATATTTTAAAAAGAAATTTTGAGTACACGAAATACACACATTGAACGCTATGGAGGTAGTGAGAAAGGTGAAAAAGTCAAAGAAGCGCCGCCACCGCAGTAATGACGATGACGACAAAAAAGACGAACCCCTGGAAGAAATAGGGGTGAATGAGTATTTCATGATAATATCGTTGTTCTCGGGACTTTGTGGTTTTACTAAATAAATATTATCTATTTTACAACAGAATTTGTACAGAGAAAACTGTGAAAACGACTTTGGCAGAAAAAGTGAGATCGTTGTACAAGTGGACGCTTCAACTTCTTGTGGTGAGTTTAAAATACAGCATAACTCCTACTTTTATATATTTAACCATCGATGAAACAAAAAAACAAAAAAAAAACAAAAAAAAAAAATCGTCCATTCAAGACTTTGCGTCGGAAAAAGACGAGCAAATAAAGAATCTGAGCGAAAAACTTCAGCAAGTAACGAGCAAACTCTACGAATCCAAGAACGCGTACACGTCATTGAAGCAGGAGTTGAACAGAACACAAAAGGTATATATCATTGGATTGTCCGATGTTGGGTACTTGAGTGAAAAACGCCGCTCAAGCGAATAAATAAAAAGTTGTTGTGCAGCGAAGTCGGAGAAAACGTGACAGCGTCAGAGTTGTCGAGCCGGCAGGGATGGCGCGGCAGGTCGGAGCAGATTCATCAGTTGCAGCAAAAAGTATCGGAACTCCAGCTGAAGATCTCCGAAAGCGACAGCCTCGGAAGGAAGTCCCTAGGTCACAACTTGATTTTCCTCGCTACGAAAAAAAAAAAAAAAAAATAAATAAATAAATAAATTAACCGCAACTCTACCCGTGTCAGATCGGAGAAGCTCTTCGAGCGCCCGAATCTTCGACAGAGAGAGAAGGCAACAGATGGAAAATTTGAGCCAAGACCTGAAAAGGACCGAAAGCAGCCTCGAAAGCACGAAAAGGAAACTCGAGGCTGCCAAGGCTAGGATCGCCGTATTGGAAAACGAAGCGAACCGATCGAAAAGGACCATCGGCCTCTTGAACGAAAAGACCACCAATGACAAACAAATCATCGATGCCTTGAACGTAATGACTCACACACACCACCCAATTTCTTTCGATTCTCGACACAACGAGGGTAAAGAAATTCACGAGGCTCCCATATTACGGCCATCGGAAATAATTGACACGATTGGGTGCACAATGTGGACAGGAACAACTAAAGTCAACCGAGGCGAAGTCTCAGGACAGGGAGACGGAGATGAGGCGGCAGAGCGAGAAACTCGAGCGAGAAATGGTACTTTTGAGAAGCGAAATCGAGGCCATGGGGATGCACGCGAAAAACTTCAAGCGGCAAATCGACGAGAGGGAGCGGGAAATCGAACTCCTGAGGTTTGACGCGTAAATTATACGACACCTCCCAACCCCTTTGAACGAACGAGCGAGCAAATGGCCCCTCCAAAGGTGCAGGAACGAGATCATCGTGGACCGGCTGAACATCCCCGGCACGCCGAGCACTCTACCTGACGACTCTCCGAGGAGCAGCGTGAGGGACGCCAACGAGTGCATCGCCATCGGGATGGCCGCCGAGGCCGAAAAGGACCGGCTCTTGGAGCTGATAACTGTACTGAATCGCCGACTGGACAAGGAGAGATACGACCACGAACAGTTGACGGTACGTGCCTTTATAAATATACAAATGTCCGCGCGACTCGTTATTAAAAAAACAAAGGGTCACGCGCGTCAGGAGTCGTTGAAGAGGGAGCGGGGTCGGGCGGCCAAGCTCGAGTCGAGGCTGCAGAAGGTGGAGCTGGAGCGCGTGGGCCAGCCAAGGGTGAACACTGGCACCTACCGGTCGAGGGCAAAAGTCGTTACGATCGACGAGTCCAACGATCCGGAGGAGGCGCGGCTGAGGCTCGAGCTGCTCGAGGAGGAGTGCCTCGCTCTGAAGACGCGGCTCGCGACTCTGCGGAAGGAGAAGAGCTCGGACCTCGCGGTGTTCCGGAAAACGCTCGACCAGACGAGGAAAATCTTGAAGGACGCGTACAGGTGAGACCGGATAAAAAGCAAATGGCCCCCCTCGATTGACATATGCCACTTGCAGGGGGAAAGTGCCGACCATGGGGTGTCATTCCAGCGTGACCGTTTGACGAGCCGAGCCAGGATACGTTTTTCCAAGGATTTTATTTCCACCCGAATGTACTAGTTTTTACGAAAATAAACGAAAAACGAACTAATGAAGCCCCAACGAAAGTTGGTGGGTAATGTATCGGTAAACATATATAAACTCGCGGGCAAAAGAAGGAGACAGAGCGCAGTGCAAACAAACGCGTGGCACTCGGAGCTGGTGAGTATACCAATGCATATACACAGGAGGACTGGTAGAGGCGCCAACGAACCATAGACCATCACTCGGAAGTGCATGTATACGTGAAGCAACAAGGGTATAGGGTATATATGTGTGTTACAACAAGGCCCACCTGATACAGGGCATCTTCAAGCTGATGATACGGTTACTCGCGTTATAAACTCAAAGTGCGCCGTGCCACAGATAAGAAGGTGCATGCAACCCACATCTCGGGCGCGACGAGCTAATTTTACTTTATACACATATTACGTGTAACTCTCCGGTCGGATCGGCGGCGCTTGATGTTTGCTCTGGTAACTCTGTGCTCCCTTCGTTTGCGCACAAATACACGTATGCACGTACTTGCTTACACGTTAACCCTGCATACCATGCATATATACATTCACGAGCGTTTATTATGTACATGCTTTCCTTCTCTCTCATCTTTCATTTTTTTTTTTCCCCAACGCAAGTGCGGAGCTGTAAATTCATCCTTCCAAGATCCCAACCAGCTATACATGGTACACGCGTACAACAAACTATCGGTGTGTATAACACCTATGCTCGCGCTGTTGCGAAAGACGCTACATACACCTGCTTGTTACAGTTGTATGAAGCGCAAGCCTCTCGCGGTTGTGATGAGATTACGAGAAAAAAAAAAAGAAAAAAAAAAAAATTGTGCGTCCCTGCGAAGCAGAGAGTGTTTCTGGGCCAAACGCGGAGGGGCCGCACGTACACGCGGCCCGGGTGATTGGGTAACGCAGGTGCTGTTAAAACGACAGCTCCAGATAAGAAGCCGAACAATACACGTCTCCCGCGGCTCCCCGAAATGACATTCCATTGGGTAACCATTATCTTTTTTAGTTGAGTTCTGGTTTAGTATTTAGTTTTTTTTTTTTTTTTTTTTTTTTCAACATTTATCTCGTTATCTCGCGCTCCAATGGTTACGAAAATCCCTATGTTCAATGGCACTTATATTGCAGTTACGACGAACGTATACAGTGGAGACAGCTGGCAACCAAGTTATTGACACACCAACAAAAAGTGCCCACCATTACCTTTGCTTCCCGCTACTATTTTTCAAAAGTGCGTAGTAAAGGAGGCCCAAAATATTATTTACTATGGCTCCCCGGGCGCAAAATACATTATAACCTACACAATATTATTCGACAGAGAAAAAAACAAGAGATGCGCAACAATATCCACTCGTCGTCCAACTACCTGTTACCTAATAAACGAAGCTGCGGTCGGTTGACTCGGAACAGCAAGGAATAACCGTCACGTCAACGGCGATAACTGTCGTCCCCTGATTGCCAAAAGTGCCGCATACGTAACGCGCAACAGGATGGACAATTATTGGATTACATTGAAAAACAATTTCAAGTTCGGTTTCTCGGCAATGAGTCACATGTATACATATAGCTGTATAGTTCGTTCACACTTTTTGAAACTCTCGCATTTCATACATAATTACCAATAACTTGGCTCATCGCATTACCATTATCTATGGGTATACATACTATAATGTATATAGCTCAACCCTAAGTATATACGGCTATATTTAACATGACAATGTGCAGTGGTATAATATAAGGTATAGATATATAACCCGTGATGCCTGAACGAATGTGTTTTTGAAGAATTCAGTTCTTTTGGCCTAAAAACGGGGTCGACGCACGAGGACAAAAGGGTACATATTGTATACTATAGGGAATATTTTTAATTTCATCGCCACATGATATGCAAAGGTAAATACCCTCGAGACTACGTATCCTCGCTCAAGCCAAACGGTACATACGTATGAAAGTGTAAGACGCGACAATGAGAAAAGGCGCGCTTTAAAACGTACCTTGGGTAATTGTATTCTTATCGTTTAAAAAAATACCATAGTAACTATAACCGATACAGCATGGTTACATGCACATCGCTTGGTTATACTTTATCTGCACCACCTCCTCTCCTATTTACAAGCAAGTGTGCATGTATACACCTGCGATTGCGCTACGCGAAAGAGCAAGAGGATGAGTCGCGGCAGGAAAAAGCGCGCCACTAGTCGGCTGTCCGTATTTACATCGGTATAGAAATAATGTCCCGGTTGTTCGGTGCCGCCGAAAACTAAATCGTGCGATCGTGGGAGTGAAAATGGACTTCTCGGGGATTTTCGTCTTTGGTGTTTGCGGGTGCCACCGTCATCTGCACGAATTCTCGATCGCAATAAGTTGGTACAATCAAACAGGTGGCAGTTGAGTACAATTGGTTATACCTGCACGGTATACATGCTATATACGTGCCGTGGCGCTGATGTTGTATACCTGCCCGCCCGTGCGTGAGTGTGTAGGTATAGTGTCGTAAGTATAGTTACTCCTGATAAGAGAGGAAAAAAAAAGAAAAAAAAAAAAAAGAAAAATATGAGAGCGCGCCGGGCGTGACGTCACGTGTCGCGCAGGTATATGAGCCGACACCGAGGCCCCGTCCACGTCACTATGTACTCGCGCCTCCGCCGTTCCTCTCCCCCACCTGCCGCCTTCTCGTGGACTCTGCTCTCTATACCTATTGTACTCCTCCGTACTTACCTGCGACGACTCTCCTTTTCCGTTTTTTTCTTCCTCCTCTTTTTTTTTTTTTTTTTCTTAAATCCCCCCACCCCCCCGCTTCTCTCTAGGCTGCCCTTTCTCGCGGAGCTCCGCGGGGTCCGGACCTCATTCCAAGCTCGAAGGTGGGACCGCATATAGGGGAGCTCCGCTTCCACGCCAGGAGGTGCGAGCTGCCGCACTTTCGCATCGCCATGGGGTGAGTAACCAAGTATATATACTTGTAATATAAGCTCGACTCGTACATGGGGCGAGAAGCCGTGCTTTTACTCTGTGCATATTTCCACGTGCTCTTTTTCGCATTTACGAGTGATGCGTCGATTTTCGACCATCCCCCGGTTTACCATCGTCTTAGTGGTCGGTGCTACGTGGAACTTTTCTTCTTCGAGTGCCGTTGCGCTGTAGGTATACGTGTACGTATGTATACACTTTGAATTCGATTTTGATTGGAAAAAAAAAAAAAAAAAAAGAGTAGAACTTGTCGTGTACGGTCGAAGGCGTGACCCAAACGTTGGAGCTTAACAGTAATCATAATTTCATTAGCTCGGAAGTCCCGAAACTGCTTAAAAAGTCCGACTTTTCGTTGTAATCGCGAGTTTCCTTCGTTACCACATATGTGCAAATAACACGTAATACGCTCGTAATCATCGGGACGAGGCGTCGATTGGCGGAAAAAGTATAAAGGTATGGCAAACGTTGTATAAGCTACACATACGTGCTATTGGTGTATGACACGTACCTACTTGGGAGCACAAGTGGCCCAAGAGATGCCGATTTGCAGGTGCAAAAGTAGCTCATCTTATTCCTCCTTCTTATACACATATATATACTGTATACCAACTGGGAGATGGTTGCGTAACGCGCACTCGATCGTTGTTTGCTCCTTTTCCTTTGACGCCGATGATGCGCACGTAGTATCATTGGCACCGAATTTGTTGAAAAGTGCTACTCGATCGAGCTATCGGTGAAACGGTTTTCGAGCCATATATGTATTGTATAGTGTAAAAGAGAGAGAGAGAGGGGGAAACTAAAAAGTTTCCCAAGAATTTCTTTTTGTGGGCTTATCATAGTGAGTGCACTTCAGGGACCGTTTCGCTCATTAATGTCGGGCGATAAAATCGTATCAGCGCCGCGGTGTGTGCCAATGGTATCAGCCGGTATCGCCCTCGCACGTACACTGTTTGTACGGTTTATCGAGTAAAATACATCGTAAAACTAATTTTTACCTCCGAGCGACGTTAAATTCGACAAATGGATTTTGCGTTGTACGCGCCACGAAATTCGTTATCGCCTTCGACGGGATGAGCTCACGTTTTTTTTTTTTTTTTTTTTTAACTTCATTACAGGAATTAAATCATCTTGTGATAATTTTGACACACATTTTCAAAGCAAATTATAAACGCATACAAACAAACGCATTTGGCCAAAATAATACAGGAGTATACCACTGCCGTTAAATACAGTGCGGGTATACACNAAAAAAAAAAAAAAAAAAAAAGTCATGGTAGGTTCAAGTACGACAACCGTTTCATTACCCAACGAGATTAATTCGCCTCTCTGTTTGCTCTTCCCTCCCCCATCTTCTTCTTTTTTTTATTCCCTCTAATGTTTAATCGACTTATCAGGTGACTGTGGAAACAAGTGGTCGCCGCATCGGAGGCACATACACGCACCTACGGTTGCGATTACAGCCGAGTTTTTGGAACAGCCGCGCTCAACGTGCTCGACATTACAACATTATATGTAATACACAGCCGAACGAGCGCACGCAAGTTTGTCGCGCCATATGTGTGTACATACATATACACGTGACTATTTATACATATGTAGGTGAGAGTTGACGATAGCGATTTATCACAAGTGTAAGCGTATACGCGTTAACGATGCTCTGCCCTTTTTTTTTAACAGCCACATTTTCCGTGACTCGTCCAAGTACGAGACGATGCAAATTTTTATTTTACTTTCACGCTACCACGGATAGCAATTTATCAAATATACCCGTTAGTGCTTATATCCGTTTTAGCTATTCGACAAAGGGGAGGGGGGATCTTGGATCTCACGAAAAAATGTATCACGTGACGCTCGCGAAGAAAAAAAACCCACTTTGAAATGAAGTTCAGTGACGTAACAAATTGTTTTTTTTTATACCGAGGGTGCGGAACGAAGTTGGCGCACTTTGCGCTCATAGGTACGAAATGATTATTTTCTTTGAAAATCCTTTTTTCGTGAAATAGTAAAAAGTATAGTAGCTTCACAGGTATACTTATTCTCTTGACTCGCCGATAGTTGTCACCCAATGTATGCGGGTCGCGATTCGAACATAATATACATATGGGCCATGTAAATCCAATAATATTAAAATACAGCCGTGTTTTTTCGAAAAAAAAAAAAAGAAGAAGAAGACAAGAATGCCACGGAAGCAAAAAAAATAAAATAAAATCGCAACAGGTCGACGCTCGAGCGGATGGTTACTCGTTTCGCGCATGTGTGCCTACAGGTGTGGAAAAATCAACTGGGCAAACAAGTAAGTAATGAGTACCTATCCGAGCAAGTAGTGCGTGTACGCGAGAGGGTCTTGGCTACCGCCGTCCTCTTCGCGGCATGTTTGTTTAAATTTTAGGGACCGCCCGATAATAGGACGTTGCGCAGTTACGAATTTAAAAATCCGTGGCGAAGGATACTCAATTTTTTTTTTTTTTTTTTTTTCCTTGCACTTGCTCGCGGATGATCGTAACGAATGTGCCATCCACGATTTGGTTTTTCCACCCGCACCCGACCCTTTTCGCTTCACGCGTACCGTTAAACTACGAAAATCTTTTTGTTTCCCATATTGTAAATATTCAGCGGTTGTGTAGCGCCGATCAATGTCATTACTTATTTATATGGTCTCGCTTCCCGAGTCCCGTTCGCGGAGCAGGGATGTACATATTATTATGTACAGATACGTATTGGCGAGAGCAGCCGGACGATATTGTGTTAACGATTCCTCGAGGAGAGTCTAATGCGCGCGATATCGAGCGCTAACTGCCCAGAGGAGCCGCTGCTCTCGCACCGCTTCGATAACTAGTGCTGTGTGTGCAGGTTACCATAATACATAAATACACTGGCTCGGTACGGTTTTTTTTTTTTTTTTTTTTTTCGCACTTCGCACTGCGAATCCATGCCCCGTGATCTACCAAGGAAAAAAGATATTTCTATTTGCATTTTTCCTGCTGGGATGCTGCTCGCTTTACCAAATCCTCCCAACTGAAATTCCCTATAATTGATCGATATCATTTTCTTTTTTTTCTCAAAATATCATCCTTTTTTCCTCTTGTGATGTTTGCATTTCTGATTAAAAAAAAAAAAAAAAGTTGTAGGTACTGGCTAAAATGTATACGGATGGGTTTTATTGATTTCACGAGTACGAAATGACTGACTTTCCGTTTCTCTTGAAGCTACAGGTACTCCTCGTCTACGCGGTGCAGTTTCAGCTGCAGCAATGAATATTCAACGACAATGGAACAACAGCAGCTGTATGCAACAATGAAGAATCACCGGAGAGCAAAAATCGAGAAACGAAGATAAAAGCGGACGCTATAAAGAGAGCTTTCCATCGACAGTATGGTGATTGGCAACACTGTCATGGACTTGCTCTCTTTGTGGACGTCGTTTGACTCAACGGTCCTTCCTTCGCTTCACTTTTCATTAGCTGTGCTATAGCCACTACTACGTCCACGTCACAGTTGCCAAGAAAATGCGTTTGAAATACATAACAAATCCATATTGAGCTTAGCAGCGACATGATATTATACGTTTATATTTATTCACAGTATGCCCGCATCTCGCGGTTTTTACAAGCCACCGCTAGCGCAATCAGCGAAAGACAAACGAAAGGGAAAGCTCTTGCGCTGCGAACGAAAAGTCTAGTTTTCATCTGTAAGATTAACATTTTTTCCATTGTACATTACGAATACGTCATGTGACATTATTATTATTATTATTTTTTTTTTTTTGTTTTTGCGCTTGTGTGGTTGGTTATTTTCGTGCGTATACAAGAATTGGCAAATGAGTAAAAGGGTTGTATGAGTAATTAGACTGCACTGCGTGTAGTTACACTTGGAGCTTTTGGTCTGGCGTGTATACACGTAAGCCGTGGAAAACTCGTAAAGGCTCCCCCAGCACACTTACCTTCAGTTTTACGCTCGCTGCTTCACTGTTTCTATTGCTTTCTTGGGCTTATTTTCTCGTTCTCCCGCGCGTTGGATATTACTCGCATGCTGCGTGGCGATTTTTTTTTTCTTTTTTCTTTTTTTTTTTTTTTTTGTTCGTTTTGTTTGTTGTTTGCCTCTTGGAGCGCGTGTGCAAAACCTATACGCATGCACGGCAAATGTAAATTCATTGGAAATGTTGAGTGAGACAATATTTAACATAAGTGTATCGGTCCGATCGAACAGGTGTGGGCTCATGCGACGTTCGAAAATCGAAGGCGGTTGGTACTATGGGCGCGATAAAGCGCGTCGTGTATTTTTAGCTTTAGAACAAAAATAAAATTAAAAAAAAAAAATATATATATATATTTTCCAAAGTTACTCGCACTCGCGAGGAATCACGGCGGTTTTTTTTATTTCGCCTTTGTCGTGCGCGAGACAGCAAATACAGGGAGACCATTAACGTTGTTGTTGATAAGCCGCGCGCTTATGAGCACGAAAAAGATGGCTTCGCGGCCAAAGAGTCATAAATATAATTTGCCTCAATTATCGCGACCGGCGCGATAAATTATCCTCTTTCGCGCTCGAATCGTTTCCAACCATCTGATCCTCGTCGCTCTTTGTTCTTTTTATTACTCGCATTTCGCTTGTACACCCTAATGTTTTTTCAATTTCAATGAGCTTTTTTTTTTTTTTCTTATCTCGCAAGTGGCAATATGCTAACCCAAGTTTATTAGCGCGAGTGGAATCTTTTTGACGAAACGACACACGCGCAAGATGTATACATATATATGCGTACAAACACCAAAGCGACTTTTCGACGAGGAATTTGGAAAAAGTATATGTACACACGACCCGTTATCTCATCGCAATTGTTTCTTGTTATCTCGCCTCGATACACGTATGTACCTATATATAGGTGTAACGTACACGCGTAAAAGGTTGCAAACTGTTTTCGTTTTTTTTTTACCGCACAACTATCATCCGCGACGGTGCTTTCCCTGTTATTTCGAAATTTACGCTGATCCTCTGTTTGCTTGGTCCACATTTTTTTTTTTTTTTTTTTTTTTTCGACGAGTAAAAAAACCCACGAGCAAGTGTTTGCGTGATTAGTACACCTATGCTCCAAGTCGAAATTATTTTTGTTTCCAACGCACCGAGTATTGCATTTGTGTCACGCGTTGATTGCAATATGGAAGAAACAAAACGAAAAAAAAAAAAAAAAAAAAAAGCCGCATCAATGGCGAGATGTTTTTCAACGAGTCCGTCTATCGCACTTGCGTGGACTAAGTATATATTGTATACCGTGCCGACCTATTGGTCTACGATGATGGGAACAATCGGCGTGGCCGACAAAGACCGAGAAAATTCCGGCGTAAATGAGGCAAGGCGCGTGTTTCATAAGGACGTGTTAAACGGCGGTGCCATTGTCGCGCGAAACGAGCGAGAAAGTGGCACGTGCCCGATATATAATATATCCCGAAGACGTCAATGGATCCCCTGCTCACACCAGCCGCGGCTTGGGCGCAGCCTTTGCCAGTGTTTTTCAGCCGCGTCCGGCAACGTGCATTGCTTGCATCCATCGACGTGACTTTTAATAGGGATGTCACTGTTTGTGCTGAAATTCTTCGGAATTTCATAGCTCGTACATTTTTGTTCGTGCACCAATGCGATTAGAGGTGTTATACATTTTGCTGCCTCTTTTTTTTTCATGCCTCATCTTGAACGACTCGTTGCTCGAGTCACTGTAATATGTATCATAATATAACTGCAGAAGCTAATGTAATCATGTGATTTGAATCACGTCGCTTTTGTGCTGGGTCTTTGGGAAAACATCAAAATTTATATGTATAACACGTGTACAATGTAACCGACAGCGTATGGAAAGTAATTTCACTATATTTTTGTTAGAAGAAAGTGAAAATAATAGTCATACCTCCACGATACGAGATAATAATTGCTTTTTTGATAAGAGTTTCTATTCATCCATCACTTTGGTACAAAAATTACCAAGAAAATAACGCGGAATAGCAGAGAGAGAGAAATTCATTATGCTTTTGATGTAATCATTTATTTTTCTCAAATAACAATAAATGAATTGTCGAAGATAAAGACATTGAAATTTTCTTTCTTAAAACCTTATACCATTCGCGTACAAAATTTGTAAAATTTTTACTGTCTTGAACATGTTTGTATTCATACGAGTTGTTAAAATAACTTTGCCAATTTTAAAAATACGGAAAAACAGAAACTATCTTTACGATACGTATGCATTAACTTACCCTCAAACAGAAAAGATTCAAATGTATTCGATACAGATTCCGTATGAAATCTACATGATTTTTGAAATAATTTTAATCGCTCGAACTACCAAGTCTCATTTTACTGAAGAATTCTTTTTTTTTTATATATATAAAGGCACAAGTGTCAGAACGTACGAAATTTTTTAAAATCAATATTCAAATTTTATCGGGTATTGGAATTGTAAGCAACGTTTTACGAGATTTTACTCACTTGTTACGCAAAATCACTGTACTCGTTACGAAGCAAAAGTTATTTTAAATTTAAATTTTCCCGGTCTCCACAATTATATATATGCTAGAAAGATGGCCGCCTTCCACGCGTATCGTCTGCTAGAGCAGTGTGATTGTTGACAACTGTCTTGACATATATCTCAGACACTGTTGTCTTGTAAACATTTGAATTCGGTTGTAAGAAATTGTTGCTTGTTATGTCTTCATCTAGTCGACGAGCCAAGTAATGATCATTTTGATTTTAAGTTGATTAGATCACTCTGCATTTTTTAAGTCACGGTTTCACTTGCGTAAACGTAGTCCCAATAAAAATTTATTTTATTTGGTTAGGTCTCTTGTCGAAGACAACGGATTGTTTAAACTTTTGTCATTTCTTTCGTTTTAGTCTCAAGATTGGAATGGGTTCTGTGGTATGCGAAGAGGCTATTCTAAAGGGAGACGTAACGATTGGTCCCAGAACAGTAGTTCATCCCAGAGCAAATATTATTGCTGAAGCTGGTCCAATTATTATTGGCGAAGGGAACATAGTTGAAGAGATGGCAACTATAATTAACAGGTACTCCTTGGCTTTCAACCGAGAATATTTTAACTTTTACTCATTGGATTCACTTGATTTAGGATATCGTCAGATCAAAATGTCACACCTGTTCAAATTATTGGAAATTACAATGTATTTGAAGTGGATAGCACTTGCGAAGCATCAAAAGTCGGTGATAACAATATACTAGAGAGCAAAGGTACTTTCAAAAGTTGTATAATAAAGATTATTATTATTATTAAGGTGTTTAATACTTGCTTTCATATTTTGCATGTGCAATTTAGCATTTGTTGGCAAAGAAGTGGAAATAACAAATGGTTGCATCATTGGGACCAGTGTAACCATATCTGACCAAGAAGTTCTACCTGAAAATACAATTATTTATGGCAGTGATTGTCAAAGGAGGGAAATGAATGACAAGCCATTTGTAAGTAGTAGTTATGATATTCTATCTAAAAATAATTTCATACTTTTAACGCACTTTAGACAAGGGTATCTTCTTAAAATGCCTTTTATTTTAGCCTCAAATCGGTCAGCTGGACTATCTTGTGAAAATACTACCCAATTACCATCACATTCACAAACCAAACGTGAAACCTCATAAAACTGAACCATCTATTTGAAACTCTTTTTTTAAAATCTTTGATCACCTTCTTAATGACTGTAAGTTTTTTTACAAAAATCGCTGCTGATATCATGATCAAGCAATGAAGAAATCTGCTTCCCAAATTGCCCCGACGCTTGCTAGATGTCACTGTAATTTAATAATTTCGGTAAAAGACATTTACTTACTACAAAATCGTTACAGTATTATATCAATGGGCGTCCCAATGTCTAAATCAAATTTTAATGAAGAAATAATTTAAAAAAAACTGTTTATTTATTAATCAACAAAATGGTAAAAATTTTTTTTGAACAACCTCCACTTTTATTAGTAAAATCTTAAAGTCGTGGATATATATGTACATATCTGTTGACACAAATAGTTGATATTTTATGATAAAAAGCTACGACACCAAACAACCGAGTTTACCAGCCCTCGCGAAGGGAAAACCGTCAGCGAAGAGAATGGCTCTTTGCTCGACGGTGTATGTATTTGGCCCCCTATTGAAATCCCCCTTGTATATGAAACGACGGAGAAAGTAACGAGACGAAAGAGCTGTCATTTGGTTTGACGTTCCCTAGAGCGGATGGAGAACGGGACGATTCTTCGTGCGGTACTCAAGCTCCGGAATAATAATAATAATAATAATAATAATGTAACGATTCAACCGAAAGGGGAATACATGTCTCGTGGCTGACAAAGCTCCCGACGCGCCTGATTGTAGGCGCTAAAACAAAAAGTGATAACTCGAACGAGGATGCCAATGATTGCCGCAATAATGCAAGTACGAGAGAGTTACCGGCGTGAATTACCTACATACAATTAAACGCAATTAGCCCGAGATGCAGCTGAGGTATAGGTACACCGTTTGTCCCTATTGAGTTTCTCTCGCAGGCAAAGGACTCCATTGTTCCGCAGACCTTACAATAATTCATATATAGGTACTTGGCGTGCAAAACGCACTCGCGCCGCAACGAAGGGGAGGAGGAGGGATGACTCGTTAGCATAATCACGTCACAAAGTCGTCTAGCTGCGAGCCGTCACCGACGCTTCCTTCCTGCTCTTTCCCCCTTTTGGATTTCACGGCTGGTTTTCCATGGCGAGCCCCGAGGAGAAACGGAGAGTGAGGTATAATAATCGGGGGGCGGCACCCGGTTTCACCGTTTACAGGAGCTCCCCCACCCTTCTCTCGGCCATCGTCGGATATTCGCTCGCTGAATCCGTGCGATACTTAAATACAATATTATGTACAAGCATGAGGGTATATCCTCGTTTGATATTGAATCGGCTCTTAACGCAACCTCTCCCTCCCTCCCTTTTATGTGCTTGTGATACTCAAAAAGTAGAAAGAGAGAGAGCTCGATGTAGATGAGAGGGATGCTGCGGCTCTTAATCATTTGTTCCGCTTTTGGATCTTATTGTACTCGTCGTTTGAAAATGTGATTTTCTGATAATTATACCAATGTATGCGGTTTTTTTTTTTTCTTTCTTTATGTTTAATATGATTTCCAACATTTACGTCTAATTTATCTTGGATCATAAAAGGTTGACCCGTTCTACGGGTAGAAGCGATGAAAGGTGCGAATAAAGGCATTCTTTTTGTGTTATCACTACTGACGAAAATTGAAATTACTTTGTAGGAATACATTTTTTATGATTTAGTATGGTTTCTAAGAGCCAAGATTAATACAATATATCAAAGTTAAAGATATATATTTATGTTAAAAATGTACACACATGATTCTCTTTCGTTGTTCGCCAATTTACGGTAGAATTTTGTCTTATTTAAATTAAATATCTTATTTTTTTGAATCGTTAAATTATGTTTGAGCTTTGGATTAAAACTTTATGTACAATGAAAAAAGGTAAAGCAGAATTTCATCCTTTTTCAAGTATTTTTTTTTTTTTTTATATAACTCATTTTAATTTTGGTAGAACTATGTTTAAAATTGATGTCAAACAAATTGAGTGATTCGTAAAAAAATACCGGGACTTGAAAACTTAGCAGTACACCGCTGGATTGTTAACGGTCCCTCTACCATTTATTATTACTATTTTTTTTTTTTAACTTCATTACAGGAATTAAATCATCTTGTGATAATTTTGACACACATTTTCAAAGCAAATTATAAACGCATACAAACAAACGCATTTGGCCAAAATAATACAGGAGTATACCACTGCCGTTAAATACAGTGCGGGTATACACGTGCGAAGCCAGCAGTGGTTCATTAAGTATACATCATGATAATTAAATGTTGATGAGTAACATGAAACAGTTCGTGTCCCGAGTTGTTGGCAAATATTATGGAAAAGCTATATATTCCATTTGGTGGGAAAAAAGCGGCCAATTCCTACGATTTCACGGATCGTATAAAAATCATTAGGTATACGAGAATCCACGTCAAGGTCCAGTGAAATCCCAAACTTTTACAGATATACAAAGAAATACGTATATGTTGAATTTGTAAAAGCGCGTGCTCTCTGGACCCTTCATCAATACACAGTCGTATACATTACACATCGGTACCTATATATATATATATACGCGTTGCACCCTGCACGAACGATGTACAAGTAACAATAATAATTGCTCAGGGGCACTGTCCATTTTCGCAACATTTGAACCGCACGGAGATTCGAGAAAGGGCTCTCGTGGCCCAACAATAGAATTTCGCCACGGCTGTCACGACTCGATGGTACTCGCCTCCCGTGCACACATCGTCGCTGACTATGCGGCGCGAGGGCTCTCTCACCAACGCCCAATGATTGTCATGCGATGAATATACGTATGGATAAAATATAATCACAAGAGGCATGCATAATATAAGGCGCAGCGGCGAGAGAGGCAAGTGCGAAAACGAGACCGAGCGGCAACGGAGCAACTCCGAGGGGGAGGCTTCGGAGCTCCAAGCTGTCAAAAGCTCGTCACGCCAATTATTCATGATGTTTTCGCCGCGATTTGCTACAGAGTTAAGAAGCCACTCTCGACACGAGATACGTACATCGTCACCCTCCGTTAGAAATCAGAATCTTTGTTTTTTTTTTAAACTAAATATAAATCGATACAATTGTATCGGTACATGTGTACCGTACACCCAAGATATATACTCAAGTGATTGATGTAACTTTTTGTCATTTTGTTTGTACAGTATAAGTAAGTAATGTGTACCTAATGTGCGTGTACATTGAAGATCCTCGACGGCATCATCGACGCAGGGTAACGGGACAATAAAACTACTTAGGACGCCGGTACAGCTCTTTCGCTCGAGAGTCATTAGCGCAGCGATGGTGTACACACTATACGCGTAACATATATCAGCCGAAAGCCCTCCAAGAAGAAAATAACGAGGAGGAGGATGGTATACATGCATGTATAATAATACGTGTGAGAGTAAGGATGTACATGTAGGTATATACGTAGGGGGCTATTAATACGAAAATTAATCTGCGCCAAAGACCCGATGTCGGGGGCTCTTAGTCGATTTGACGGGTTCGGGACCACCTCTCCCTTCTACGCGCGGCCACATTACCAAAACGTCGCCGGCGTTTTCCTTCCGCTTTTTTTGGGGGGGCCGCACGCGCCTACCCGCTTCTTCGACCCACGCGCCAAAAACCCATCAAAATAAACATCAAAAGACCCCATCCCCACTCTCGGGGCCATTTGTCATCTCATGATCATCTCCTTTTGCTTGACTCCGTGTACGCGGCCCAGCTTCATCTCCGATTTATTACGGACACTTGGCCAAACAATCCGTGTGATTTCCTCTTGATAATTATACCGTTGTGGCTGTTATACCGGTAGCTATGAAATTGATGAATCACGCGTCACCCCGATGCACGCGCATTTTGAAAAAGGAGGGGTTGGGACGAAGAAGCCGTCGATTCGCGACGATTCCGCAAAAATGTTAAAGGTCGCGCGGCCCCGGGGGTGTAGTCACCCTCGGTTCACGCTTGCTTACCCACCGGCTCGTATTTAACTTTGAAATATATTTTTTACGCCCCCTTTGCCTCTCAACACCCACCACCACCGCGTACCGATTTTTTGCACGCGTCGGCCCCAAGTATCTCTACATCATATTCGTTATTTGTGTGCAGTATGTTTCAACTGCTTGAAACATTTTTGAAATCGAGTTAACGCGACATTAACATCGAATCAATTATTGCACCATCAATTTTCTGGCGTGTGTGGTTCACATAGTGCTCAAAGGGTAAGACAAGCTCTTGAAAATTGAAATCGAATAACAAATCCAAAGTTCTTACGCGTATACACGTAAAACGTATAATATCCTATACGCAAACAATTTTTTATCTCTTTCCAAGTTGCGATGATTCTCTTGGCTAACGGATCCCAACGGAGAACTCCGTGTCGATATTGTAGCAACGTTTGGACCTGCAAGAGGAAAACAAAGAATCTCCTCAATACGCCCCAATGAAGAGGTAAATACATTTAGTTTTTAACGAACAAGCAAACACTCGCAGGATATTACATTGTGTTGTCAATGAAAACCATGTGGTTTGGGAAAAGGATCACCCATGTATACACCGAGAGTATAAGCAAAATATCAACGAGATATATATATATGCGCGTATAGGTGTATATATATATACACACAAGACGTGGCGTGCGGTACGTAATCGTGCATTTTATCACGGCTGCGTGCGACTGATGACCAGCCGAAGGTCCTTACGAGGAAAAATGCCGACAGCTGTGTGTGGGTATACATGGCCCGCCCACATAGAGACCACCGAAATACACGTTGCCGGCGAGCGGCGGCGGTAAAGTCCTTTAAGCTTCGGTGCGGCCCGCGTGATTGCGCATTAACGATTCCGCCGGCGATGCGCATGCCTCTCCCACGCGCCTGTACGAAATTCGCGTGGTCAATGTCTTGCACAAATTATATATATATATATATATATACTCGGTAACGTCACGGCGCGCATATAATACAACGGGGTATATATTGGGGGCTGCACGCGCACAAAAGGGGAAAATAACTATTCGGCGATAAATAATATATTTCCTGTCGAACGCGTCCTCGCGCATCGTTGGCCACACAAATGCGGAATCCGCTCGGTCCCCGTGGCTCATCGCTGTCTTTTTCCCGTTTTATTATTTCACCCGACTCCGTAACAGTGTGTGTGTGTGGCTGTATTTCGTATGTTCCAGGGCTGTATATATTATATACTCACGTATACGTCTCGTGGATCCCGCGAGGGGGTGAATTGTGTAGCTGCTAACGGCG